CGGCCTATTCATCTGCACTGAGTGTGGGGTCGTACTACACCATCTATTTGAAGTAGTTGGTGACATCACACATGACTAACCCAGATTACAGTCAAGTGTTTCTGGTTACTAACCCTTTAGGTGCTTCCAAAAGGTAAAAAAAAAGGAGCTGTTGACCTGAAAACTATACCGCTTCATGACATCACAAGGTGGAACAGAGCATTTTGAGCTTTGGAGATGTTGACAGACTAATAATAAATGTTTAAAACACAACTCCAGATCAGTTTTTGATGCGATAACAACATTATAACATGATTTAAAGCTCATAACAGTGCATGTTTTGTGTAATACAGGTGTCAGGACTTCTGGTGACAGGATGTAAACAGTGGAAAAACTAAAAATAAAATGTAAGTTTGGTGGTAACTATTTAAGAAAACAGGACACATCTGTCATTCCACTTTAAACCAGACTAACAAGAAAAAAACTCAACCCGTTATGTGTGTGGTTTCAGATTTTTGCGTTTTTAAGCCCCAAAAACGCCATCACTGTCCAAACGAAAGGCACTTCCGATAAAATATTTTGTCGTAACTACACTGAAACTACTCCGGAACTCACACCCTACTGTTTACAGCACAGTGCAGTAGTGTTTGTTAGCTCGACCTGTTCATGTGCGTACTGAGTGTGGGGCAAGTATCTGAAGAAGCTGGTGACATCACACATGACTAACCCAGATTACAGTCAGGTGTTTCTGGGTACAAACCCTTAAAGTGCCTCCAAAAAAGGAGCTGTTGACCTGAAAACTACCGTTTCATGACATCACAAGTTGGAACAGAGAATTTTGAGCTTTGGAGATGTAGACAGACGAATAATAAATGTTTAAAACACAACTCCAGGTCTGTTTTTGACGATGAGATAAAAACATTATAACATGACTTAAAGCTCACAAGAGTAATTTTTTGTGTATTATAGGAACTTTAAACAGATAATAATTCTGGTGACAGGATGTAAACAGCAGTGAAACTAAAAATTAAATGTAAGTTTGATGGTAATTATTTAAGGAAACAGGACACATCTGTTGTTCTACTTTAAACCATAGTAGCAAGATTACTCATCAGCCCAGTATGAAGACGGTATGTGACATATTTGGAAATTGTTTTTAAAAAATGGGTCTGGTCAACAATAAAAATGCTCTGGTTCCGTATCTGGGGATTTACCGTTTGTTTCATGTTAAAGTACAGTGTAATCAAGAAGAAGTACTTTTTTTGTTCATAGTACATTTAGTTCTACTCCAAATCATCTACTATAGGTCTAACAGTTTAAACTATGGCCTGGGGGTTCAAATCCGGCCCTCAGAACTGTTTTTATCGGCCCTCAAGGCTTCAGGAGCCCCCCCCCACCAGGTCTAAACCAGGACTAAACAAGATCTAAACCAGGACTAAAATCAGGTCTAAACTAGATCTTAACCATGTGTAAAACAGGTCTAAACCAGGACTAAACCAGGTCTAAACTAGATCTAAACCAGGACTAAACCAGGTCTAAACCAGGACTAAACCAGGTTTAAACCAGGACTAAACAAGATCTAAACCAGGACTAAACTCAGGTCTAAACTAGATCTTAACCATGTGTAAAACAGGTCTAAACCAGGACTAAACCAGGTCTAAAGTAGCTCTAAACTAGATGTAAACCAGGTCTAAACTAGATCTAAACCAGGACTAAACCAGGTCTAAACTAGATCTAAACCAGGACTAAACCAGGTCTAAACCAGGACTAAACCAGGTCTAAACCAGGACTAAAACCAGGTCTAAACTAGATCTAAACCAGGACTAAACCAGGTCTAAACCAGGACTAAACCAGGTCTAAACCAGGACTAAACTAGATCTAAACCAGGACTAAAACCAGGTCTAAACTAGATCTAAACCAGGACTAAACCAGGTCTAAACCAGGACTAAACCAGGTCTAAACCAGGACTAAACTAGATCTAAACCAGGACTAAAACCAGGTCTAAACTAGATCTAAACCAGGACTAAACCAGGTCTAAACCAGGACTAAACCAGGTCTAAACCAGGACTAAACTAGATCTAAACCAGGACTAAAACCAGGTCTAAACTAGATCTAAACTAGATCTAAACCAGGTCTAAACTAGATCTAAACCAGGACTAAACCAGGACTAAACCAGGTCTAAACCAGGACTAAACTAGATCTAAACCAGGACTAAAACAGGATTTAACAGGACTAAATCCTGCTGCGTGGACGTGTCTCCTCTTCTTCTATCAATAATATTTTTAATTTGGTTCATTAAAAACTGGGGTTTTTACTTTCTTTTATCAGACAAAACATCTTATATTGCGATTTCCTCGTCTTTGCTTCTCTACAGCAAATCAAGTAATCCAAAGTATTCAGATTACATTACTCACTTTAAGTAATTTAATGGATTACGTTACAAACTACATTTCGGTGTGTGTAATCTGTAATCTGTAGGGGATTACATTTTAAAAGTGACCCTCCCAACACTGCACACAGCAACCTACATTTGGTTTGTCAATTAAAAATGAACATAATCGACGGAATTCTTAATGATAAATGATCGATTAGCAGCTTCATGTTAATCCTAGATCCACGTGTAACCGCACAGACCATAGACGTATACATGAACGGACAACGTGCCAAACCAAGAATCCGTCCATATATTCGCCGCATTGTTTTATTCGCCGCAGGGGTCAAAGTGTGAGAAAAAAAGTACCGTATTTTCCAGGCTATTAGACGCGCTCTCAAGAATCCAGAACCATCAAAAAACGGCCGGGCGCCACAATCCAGAGCGCCCTGTACACGAATCCACCCAGTACGACTTTAGTAAATTACAAAGCCACAACACACACGGAGCAGACAGCGACCGCGCGGCGAAAAACACACTCATCGCTCCACGCCGACGAGGAACGGAACGGAGGAATGAACCGAAAAAGCGAGCGCCAAACAAAGACCCACTGACCCTTCCAACTGTTGTGTTTCCTTTAAAGTCCGGTGCGGTTTATTTGTGAAAAAAGTTCGAAAATAGACCATTTAATTATAATCCAGAGCCGAAACTATGGTAGCGGCTTATAGTCCGGAATTTACTTTACTTAATGACGCACTCGTTTCACAATTTTATTATTACTAACCACCACAAACTGAGAATGTCCCAGTTTTTGATTTTGAAATTCTGGTCATTCAGGTAGAACAGAACATTTTGAGGTTTGGAGATGTAAACAGACGAATAATAAAGAGTTACTCAAACGTGTGAATGAAACAAAACACAACTCCATGTCTGATTTTTGTTGCTTTTGAACACGATTTAAATCTCACAAGAGTCAGTTTTGTGTCATACAGGAGCTTTAAAATAGAAAAAGAAAATGACAGAATATTCTGGTAAAAAGCTGCACTGTATTTTCGATGCACGTTTGCCAAAAATTCTTGACCGAAATATAATTACTTTACATTTTTAACGATCCGAGCGTAACATTTACAAACCAAATGTGTGGTGTGTGTGTGTGTGTGCAGATGCCTGTTTGCTCGGGCCGACGCTGAAGCTCGCCGCGTTTGGCTCGGCGCAGGGGATTTCCTCGGCACATTTGCAGTCTTCCTCTTTTAAACTCAAAACAACAGCTGCAGTGCAAACTACACACACACACACACACACACACACACACACACACACACACACACATACACACACACACACACACAACACACACTACACACAACACAGCACGCACAATGCACACACACAACACACATCACACACAACACACTCAACACACTTAACACACTTAACACACAACACACTCCGCACGGTTCAGTGTGTGCAGCATTAACACACAGGAGAGGGCGAAGTGTCTATTGCCCCTTGACCAGAGGGTTCAGAGTCTGATGCACGGATGGTTCACCTGTACATGTATGCAGACATTTAGAGATGTTTCATCTGAACATATGTGTGTATATATATATTATATTATTTTTTAAATGATGGAAATGTCCGGGTTTTCATTACCTTTCATTGAGGTCATTAAATTGAGCGTCTGTCATAGCGTCTGTGACTCAGAAGGAGCGAGACACAAACAGTTGGTCAGTCTGTAACATGCCGAAGGGCAAATGTGCATTTAACAATGACTTGTACAAGAAATTCTCAATTTTCCGTCCCGGTCGGGACAAGTGGGTTGTGAGGTGAGAACAGCAGTAGCAGTAGTAGTATTAGGCTCCACCCCCCGTAAGGTGTCCGGGTTTTCACAAATGGAAATATGGTCACCCTAGTGGTTACGATTTGATATAATCCATAATCAACAAATAATAAAAACAAATAACAAATAATAATCAATAACAAATAATCCATTTGTTAGTGCACAAAGTTCAAAATAACACATTTACACTGGTCTAAGGATATTTAGAGACGTTTAACAATGGATATATAATAAGGACTAGACTAGTGGTCGCTCCAGGTATTGCAGCTCCCAGGAGCTTCAGCCCAGAAACAGTTCTCTTCTTCTCTCAATTCTCTTCTATAACACAGTGTATTTTTTCTGAAATCAAAATGTCCGTGTTCTGACAAAGCATCCAGCTTTCACAAAGGTCGGATTTTCTGGGATTCTTACACAGATCTCTTGGCATCCGTGGTCTAAAGTCACTCAACGTCATTTTATCAAAGCTTTGTCAGAGTAATCTGCAAGCGAAGATGCACCGCATATGGACTGAACAAGGCCCAGGACTAAAAAAACTAACTGAATCAGGACTAAACCAAGACTAAACCAGGTCTAAACCAGGGACACTAATATAACCTTGTCCACGAAAACAGCGTTACTCCAGTACCAAGATGGCGGCTTTGTTGACACATTTGTTCCAATAAACAGCGGCCGTCAATGCCAGATCTCTCATTCTATATCTACGGGATTCTTATATTGATAATGTGATCTATTTACAACTTTTAAATCATCAAAGCACCTAAAAGTTATCTTAATAAAACTTTTACAAACACAGAAAAATAAAACCCTGAGAACAGTTTCATGGTTCTTTTATTCTCCATATTTGAACAGCTACAGTCACAGTTACGTTGGGTTGGAGGCACTGCGTTTTTTTTTTTTTTTTTTATTGGCTGCATAGCTAAACAAGAATGAACAAACATATAAAAGTTAGGATTGTACAAAAAAAACAAAACAAACGGGACGTGATAAAGCTCTTATTGTGAAAGGCCACTCGTCGCTTCCTTTTGGCAGCAGCACTGGTTTAAACGGGGGCTTTTATTGTGACGGGTTCAGTCTTCTCCTCCGCACAGGATCAGCAGAGTTTTACGGTAGTCTCCCGAAGTGTCTCCCTGGAAACACACAAAAAATAATACGCGTTGTTAAGAGAAAAAGGTCTAAAACTATTCCAAGTACTACGTGACATCACTCAAGACTGCCCGATACAAACGCCCGGCTGCAGGGGCGGAGTTTGAGGTGCGGAGACCTGTCAATCACACGGTTATCCTTATACCTCCAGACCCACCACACTCTCCGATTTAACCCCCTCTGTGATGTCATCAAGCGGTAATACAGGAAGTGCTCCGCTGTGTTTTTAAACTCCACGCTAACCTTCACTAGAATCATGCCGATGTTTCTACTGAACTAAAAAGTTAGCCGTTTTAGTTTGAAAATTACTGCTGAATGACATCACAAGGTGGAACAGAGCGTTTTGAGCTTTGGAGATGTAGACAGACTGATAATAAAGTGTTACTCAAACATGTAAAGAAAGCAAAACACAACTCCCGGTCTATTTTTGAGGAGGTAACAACATAATAATATGAGTAAAAGCTCTCAAAAGTACCGTATTTTCCAGATTATAAAGCGCAACACATTATAAGACGGAATACCAATAATGTTGAATTTGTACATGAGTTGCACCGAATTATGAGGAGCATTAAGTGAAACAAACGGACGACACTTGAGACTAGTGACGGGCAAATGAGTCGGAGCTCGTCTCGCAGCAGCCGCTCACGTGACCAAAGTGTGGAAGTGTCGGTCCCTCCCCCGACTGCTTCGCTCTGCGCGTCGATCGCTCCGGTGCATCGAAGCGTTTCATTGGCTCGACGAATGTTCCGCTCTGCGATTGGTTCAGAGCTTCAGAGTGTTCAGCGCACTTCCGTGGTTTGACGAGCGCTAAACTGCTACAGCAGAAGTGGCAAACTTTTTGACTCAAAGGGATCTAAAATTTGAGGGAAGGGCCGAACCAGGAGCAAATGGATGGAGTTTTTTGGTAATTCACTTCATAAGAGAAAAAAACAATCTCATGTTATTGAAATATAATTAAAAAAACATTACAAAACATTACAACAAAATATGTGTCTTTCAAGTCCCATAATATTTACTATTTATTGAAATGGCTTTTAAAACACTGAAAATTATTATTATTATTCAAGTTCAGCGGGCCGGATTAAAAAGATTAAAGGGCCGCATACAGCCCCTGGGCCTTAGTTTGCCCACCCCTGTGCTACAGTATAAAAGATGCACCAATATTTCTTAAAAATGTTGGGTAGTGAGGAGTATTGTGTGACGCTAGTGGCGACTTTTGGCATTTGTTTCATTTTCGATGGCGTCTGCAAGTGGAAAAAAGTGATGCATAGTTTGGGATCATTTTGAACTACAACCTCTTTTCTTATTTACAGCTGCTATTTATGTTGCTCTTTACATATTATTTTAAATCATCATTATTATTGTTGTTGTTGGTACGGTGTCGCTCTGCACACAAGTTTTGTCTTACACTAACAATACTTCATCGATTCTGAGACACCTGAGGCCAATGGTTAAATTTGTCCACTAGAGGTCAGTGTTTCTCCGAGGCCTCAGACACGTCCAACCATTTGCGACAATATTGCGACTGAGGTGTCGATGCTTCACGAGGCTCCGTTCGCCCGTCACTACTTGAGTCTGATCCTTAGTCCAGGCGTCCACGATCCATCGGCAGATCGTGGTGTAATTCGTCCGGTGTTTTCTCCCCGTCTCGGTAAATATGGGTGGATCATTTAAGTTTGTTTTTTTTATTTCCTACGAGGACGACTCAAATATACACTAAGTACTAATGTGTTTAATGCAGCTTTGAGCACATTTGCTTACGTTTTACAGAAACAAAACTTAAAACCACATGACTCATTTGCATAAACTATAAGTGCTAAAAAAAACAAAAAAAAAACAGCTCGTTCCTTGTGCGCTGTGAGTTTCTGTCGGACTTCAGTGCGGCTTCGTAGTTTACCAAAGTCGTACTAAAACATTTTGACAGATTTGTGAGCGCCGTGTACCGCATAAAATCGGTTCGAGGTCACTAAACACAACCAGAATTAATACATAAGGTGCATTGTCGATTTTTGAGAAAATTAAAGGATTTTAAGTGCGCCTTATAGTCTGAAAAATACAGTAAATTTTTTATGTAATACAGGACCTTTGAAGAGATAATTCTAGTGTCAGGATGTAAACAGCAGTGAAACTAAAAATAAAACTTTTTTAAAATTTTGGTGATAACTATTTAAGGAAACAGGACACATCTGTCGTTCCACTTCAGACCAAAGTGACAAGAACAAACCCAACCCGTTATGAAAACTGTAATGAGGAAATATGGTGTTAGTGTTTTGGAAAATGTTCTGCAAAACACATCATTTCAGTTCCTGTGTCATCTCCATGCAGTTTCCATGTTATTACTGTTAAATAAAACGCAGAGCAAAACTTAGAGTTTAGAATATATGTCAGTACTGTCAGCAAGTCTAAATATAGACAGTTTTTTTTTTTATTGTCATCATGGTTGAGTACGGAGTCTGTTTGTAAGTATTGCAACATTTCACACCAACGTCTTCAGTCGAGCTCCGTCTGAAACAATCCACTAATCAATAAATATTTTATGTTTATAAAAGCGTCTGATTAAACAGAAACACAGAATAAAGATTCAGAGACTAAACCAGAACTAAACCAGAACTAAACCAGAACTAAACCAGGACTAAACCAGGAACTAAACCAGAACTAAACCAGAACTAAACCAGGACTAAACCAGGACTAAACCAGAACTAAACCAGAACTAAACCAGGACTAAACCAGGACTAAACCAGAACTAAACCAGGACTAAACCAGAACTAAACCAGACTAAACCAGGACTAAACCAGAACTAAACCAACTAAACCAGGACTAAACCAGGACTAAACCAGAACTAAACCAGAACTAAACCAGGACTAAACCAGACTAAACCAGAACTAAACCAGAACTAAACCAGGACTAAACCAGAACTAAACCAGACTAAACCAAGACTAAACCAGGACTAAACCAGGACTAAACCAGAACTAAACCAGGACTAAACCAAGACTAAACCAGGACTAAACCAGGACTAAACCAGAACTAAACCAGGACTAAACCAGGACTAAACCAGAACTAAACCAGGACTAAACCAAGACTAAACCAGAACTAAACCAGGACTAAACCAGACTAAACCAGACTAAACCAGGACTAAACCAGACTAAACCAGGACTAAACCAGAACTAAACCAGGACTAAACCAGGACTAAACCAGAACTAAAACCAGGACTAAACCAGAACTAAACCAGAACTAAACCAGGACTAAACCAGGACTAAACCAGAACTAAACCAGGACTAAACCAGGACTAAACCAGGACTAAACCAAGACTAAACCAGAACTAAACAAGAACTAAACCAGGACTAAACCAGAACTAAACTAAACCAGACTAAACCAACTAAACCAGAAACCAGACTAACCAAACTAAACCAGACTAAACCAGAACTAAACCAGACTAAACCAGAACTAAACCAGACTAAACCAGACTAAACCAGAACTAAACCAGACTAAACCAGAACTAAACCAGGACTAAACCAGAACTAAACCAGGACTAAACCAGAACTAAACCAGGACTAAACCAGAACTAAACCAGACTAAACCAGACTAAACCAGACTAAACCAGAACTAAACCAGACTAAACCAGAACTAAACCAGACTAAACCAGACTAAACCAGGACTAAACCAGGACTAAACCAGACTAAACCAGGACTAAACCAGGACTAAACCAGGACTAAACCAAGACTAAACCAGAACTAAACAGAACTAAACCAGGACTAAACCAAGACTAAACCAGAACTAAACCAGGACTAAACCAGAACTAAACCAGACTAAACCAGAACTAAACCAGAACTAAACCAAGACTAAACCAAACTAAACCAGAACTAAACCAGAACTAAACCAGGACTAAACCAGAACTAAACCAGAACTAAACAGGACTAAACCAGAACTAAACCAGAACTAAACCAGGACTAAACCAGACTAAACCAGGACTAAACCAGAACTAAACCAGAACTAAACCAGGACTAAACCAGAAACTAAACCAGGACTAAACCAGAACTAAACCAGGACTAAACCAGGACTAAACCAGGACTAAACCAGACTAAACCAGAACTAAACCAGGACTAAACCAGAACTAAACCAACTAAACCAGAACTAAACCAGAACTAAACCAGAACTAAACCAGAACTAAACCAGAACTAAACCAAGACTAAACCAGACTAAACCAGGACTAAACCAGAACTAAACCAGAACTAAACCAGAACTAAACCAGGACTAAACCAGAACTAAACCAGAACTAAAGGTCGGGTGACTGAATCTGGTGACATCGTTCGCTGTTAAAGGCCCTAGTGACACCAACTCAAAATCTGATTGGTTGAAGAGTTTCATGGACATTTATTTTGTGTTCTAGTTCCTGCAGAAGGGATTGTGAAGGCCTCAGGCAGACTTCTTTGACTTTGACTCTGCCTGGCAACAAGTGACAGCTGAAATGTGATTGGTCAGATGTGACGGAGCCCGACAAGTGTGACAAGTGTGACAGGGCCCGACAAGAGCCAAAGGTGAAGCGTCCAAACGAACCAAAACAGACACGAAGTACAACAAACGCACTTCGGCCTATTTTAGCGTCAGTGTGGAGTATTTAGTCCGACCGGTCAGATTCAAACAGTCGCCATGACGATCCGTGTTTTCCGATCGTTTTCACATTTTTACACGTCGACCACAATCGGAATCTCGTTTCCTTTAAGAGCTTTAATTTCTTTTCCTGGGATATTCCACCGTACGACATTGCACGTACTGTTTTTTTTTTTAATCTTCACGGAGACAAGTGCGCGGCGTCTCCAGGGCAGGTTACAGGTCAGATCCGCGCGGAGGAGAGTTGAGAGGCTTAAAGTGCGTGAGTCCGGTGTGCTCGTAAAGAGGAAACAGTTTTATCAAGTGGTTAAAACAGCTAATATTTGTTTAAAGTAGCAGGTCCTCTTGGAAGTACGCGGTATTCAGGTCAACAGTC